ATTCATTTGTTTTTTTGCCAAGCCCTTTTTTTTTTTTGAACATTTTTTTTTGTTTTTCATTGAATATCACAGTGAAACTCACTGCATTTCAGTAAATTTTAGTGAATTTCAAGCCCCTTTTGCTTTGCTCTTCTTTAACTCAAAAAAAGTTCCCTTTTTTTTTTCTTTTTTGAAACCTCGTGCACATAACAGCCGCGCCCCTTAACCACTTGGCCAAAGTGAAGTGGTAATTCTCTCTCTAATAATAAAATATAATAAAATAAAATAAAATAAAATAAAATTAAAGATAAAATTTGTTGCTTAATTTTAGAGAGAGATATAGAATTATTGCTGTAATTTTAGAGAGAGAGAGAGAGAGACAAAGAGACACATAATTGCTGAAAATCAATTGGCTTGCGCCTTTCTTTCTTCCATATTTATTGCTGAAAATTAGTGCATAATTTTATTGGATTATTGAAAATTGTTATACACACAACAACAATTCAAGTAAAGGTTGTTATATCAACTGCATGATTATTTTTTTTTTCTTGTAGCTTATAATTTAAGGATTTTCCACCTATTTTATTTGCATAATAATTATCATTGCATTACATTATTATTCTATGCTTTGTTCTTTTTTTTTTTCTTTTTTTTAGGTAAGAAAATTTCATGATCTTGATTTTGTGAATTCATTTTTTTTTTTTATAATTATGTTATGCTATATATTTTGTTGAAAATATCAAATATCATTGCAAACTCTCTCTCTTGTGCTAAGACATATTCACATATTTATGAAAATTATTATTATGCAAGATTTGACATAAAGTAGTTGTTGTCTTACTTTATTAATTTTTTGTTGCATCACAGCAGTGCAAACATAAATTGTTCAAGAATTTTTTTTTTGAGGTCTCAGCTCACCTAGAGTCGGCAAACCTATTGAGTTAACTAGCAGACAACCCTTTCTTAAACACAATTTTTTTTTTTTTTTGAACTTTTAGGTATTAGCTAAAAATTTAAAATGCCATCAAGGTTAGTCATGTCAGAACTATCCAAATTTGAAAGACTCAATGGGGCCAATTTTTCTATGTGGAAAAGAAAAATTGGATATATTCTTTTTCAAGATAGGGTAGATTATGTCCTAGAAACAGAACCACCAGTTTTAGAGCCTAATGCCAATGATCAATCTAGAAAGCGACTTGAAAAATGGTTAGAAGGTGACAGAGTAGCTAAGACTGCCATGTTGAGCTTTATAGAAGATGATTTAATTAGAGTCTTTAAGGATTACACCACAACTCAAAGTATGATGGGCGCCCTATCTGAAAAGTCTGAGACCACTTTTGAGACTCATGTACAATTGTTGTTAGAAAAAGACAATTCTTGCAGAATGAAAGAAAGTGACTCAGTGACCGAGCATGTCAATAAAATGACAGTGCTCGCAAA